TGAAACACTGGAACAGGTTGCCCAGAGAGGTGGTGGAGGCCCCATCCCTGGAAGCATTCAAGGCCAGGTTGGATGGGGCTCTGAGCAACCTGATCTGGTTAGCGGTGTCCCTGCTCACTGCAGGGGGGTTGCACTAGATGACCTCTAGGGGTCCCTTCCAACCCAAAACATTCTATGAATCTGTGACTCCCACCACTGCCTTCAGCCATCTCAGCCCTCAGCCCTGCCCGGCAGCGAGGTGAGGGCGTGAGGCAGCAGCGGCTGGGCGGGAAGACACCGCCCGCGCATGGCAGCACTGCAGCTACCCCTGCAAAGGGATGGCCGGTGCCAGATATCTCTGCCCTGGCCCCAGAGCTCTCCTTGCCAGCCTCTGTGGGGGGTAAAACCCCTCAGATACCGCCTTGACCCCGGAAGACGCCCTTTCTTGACTCTCTGTGTACAATATGGCAAGGGCGCCATTACCCCACCAAGACCACCCCGGGGCCGCCCTGGTGAGCACTTGAGAGCTGCCAGCCAGCCAAGGCCAGGCCCTCCTGCTGGGGGCTTGATGCAGACAGTGTGACAGAGCTCCCTGACTCGCACTAAGATCATCTGTCTCAAAAGTCTAGTGTGATCTCATTCCCTGTATGTCTGTTATATTTAGTAATTCACCCTGTGATGGTGTAATAACTGTAAATGCATTAGGAAATTGCCCCATACAGGGTTTCATAAACCTTCCACTGAAGTTGCTCCTTACTGATGCCAGAGAGAGAGAAAAGGTGATCGCATACTGCATCTCCTCTGAAGTGGCGTAGTTGCTGCTGGTGAAACAGATCCCAACTTGTTTGAGGTTCATCTAACATCTTAAGAGGTTTCTGGCAAAAGTAGTTTTGAGGGAATGGACTGACAGAAGATAAAGTTGAGGAGTTAATGTGACTTTATATAAGCACTTCTTTTACAATATAGGTGCTGGTTTATATCATTAATGTCATTTAACCCCAGCTGGCAACTAAGACCACACATCTCCTGGGATGGGAGAGAAAATGGGAAGACTAAAAGTGAGAAGACTCATGGGTTGAGGAAAAGACAGCTGAATATGTAAAGGAAAAGCTGTGTGTGTAAGCAAAGCAAAACGAGGAATTCACTCACTACTTCCCACTGTTAGGTGGGTGTTCAGCCATCTTCAGGAAAGCAGGGCTCCATCATGTAACCATTACCTGGGAAGACAAACACATCACTCCAAGCATCCTCCCCAGCTTTATATGCTGAGCATGATGTCATATGGTGTGCAATACCCCTGGAGTCAGTTGGGGTCAGCTTACCCAGCTGTGCTCTTTCCCAGCTTCTTGTGCCCCCGGCCTCCTTGGTTTTGGGGTGAGAGGCAGAAAAGGCCTCGAATCTATGTAAGCTCTAAACCAGCACAATCAAGCACAATTTTCTAGGGAGTAAAAGTAATTTTTCCTTAGTTTAACACAGTGTCCACCATAAGCATGTGCATTGTCCCTTTCCATGCTCATTCAGTGAAAAGCTAAATGTGGCCCAGTAACCAGATGGATGCCTCACCTCCCCTGCTCCCTCTCAAAGCTGTCTATATATGAGACATCTTTTGTCTGGAAGCTGTACAGACCTGCTCACACATTTTGGTGTCTCAGGAAGTGTTCCAAAGATGACAGTAACTCTGGACTGCTCCTGAATCCTATCTTGCAGCATTAGCAGAGAACCTGTCTCATAGTACAGACTGCCCTAAGCACAGCGTCTTGTAGTTTTGTTTAATCAAAAATGCATGGTGACATAGAATACCTGAGATACCACAGCCAATTAAGAAAATTTTAGAAAAGTCATTGTTTAATGTAAAATTAATGTTTTATTTAAACTTTGGATCCAACGACTGTAGCACAGCATCACTTTCTATTGTCTTTATGCATCAGCCACCATAGAAAAGATACTAAACACATCCTTAAAAGTTTGGAATCTTTTTTTAAAGGAAGTGGAAGACCAACCACCAGCATTGGGTTACTTTCCCTAATTGTCTGGATTGTCTGGCATAGGAATATTGGCCTTGGCAGTAACTCGTCTTTCTGTCAAGTGAGCAGAGGCAGAGGTAGCCTTTGGGCCAGTACTTTAATAAGATGTCTAAATCCCATTTAAATATTTGAATCTCTATGGAGATGCCTGTTTTACTTACGTAACCATGGATGTAGACGCCACTGTATATGAGTGTCCTAATCTACTTCAATGAGAAGGGTCATGCCCTTCTGTACAAAAAGCATGAATGCAATTAGGAGAGAGCTGACTGGCAAAAGCTATCCAGTAATAGCACAGCCTTAAGAGAAGACCAGCAATCTCTTTTGCCATAATTTGAAAACTTTTTGCCTTTGAGAAACTTTTTATAGTGGTTTTTGTAACTCATATTTAGTAAATTGCACAGAGAAAAAAGCAGGTTCATTCACATCTGTTTCTTATCTTTGCAAATGAGCTGCTTGATCTGCACAGGCTTATAGCTTAGGAAATTTCCAGTCTGCTGTGGGGAAATTACAAGGCTGTTAGTTCTTCATAATTGCTTAAAAGTTTCTCTTACTTTGCCACCTTCACCTGTCCCCAGTTAATGCTTAGGCTTAAAGCAGGGGCAATGCTCCAGTGACCTCTGATTCTCATAGCTGGGGAGCAGAAAGAACCCACTTTATACTTTACTTGATGCTTACGAAGCATACTAGCAGGTTCAGTTGAAGCAATCAAGTAACATGCTCTTCAGCTGTGCTAGGGATGAAATATCGAGAATTTCCTCTCATTTATTTACTACTGCTCCTTAGCTGTGCATGGGTAATGTACAACAGTGAACATGCAACATGCTAGTATAGGAGATAGTTTTCTCTTCCTAGAAAAAACTACAAGATTATCAATAAGATTTTTCCATCGATATTCATAACTTTAGTATTTAAAATATATAAGATAACTTTAATATTTAATATATATATAAGATTTAGTAATTTTCTGAATCTTATACCACCATTTGAAGCATACCCTCTTGCTTTGATGTTTTCATATCACAGTGCTCAACATTTTAAACCATTACATATGCTTATTTACTTCACTGGGAATTATCTGCAGAAGAATTCTGGGGTCAGTTGTAATCATTGTCACAGTCATCCGGATCTCTGCTGGAGCTACTCTGACCCCTAGCATAGTTTCATAGTTTTATAGAGGTTATTTGGTTTCTCTTCTGGGACCATACCACTGTCAGAAAACGTCATGATCAGATTAAGATCAGCCTGTTATTATTTTGTTAGAGAAAGGTTGTTTCCATTGTTGCAAATTCACATCACACTCTCCTTGTCTTTCAACAGCTTTCAGATAATGTGGCTATTTTAAACGCACCTCTTTTTGGAGCTTCCTGCTGTCAGTTACACCCTGTGTCCTCTCTGTATATCCATTAACTTTAAATTTTATATGGTTACGGTCAGTATTTGTTCCTTTAATTAAGGGCATATGTTGTGTTACTTCTGAAATGGTAACTACACAGAAAATTCTCTTTATTTTGATGCAACACAGCTTTCTTCTATTCACTTCTATTGCTTAAAAATATGCAAAAAGAGAAATTTCTTGTCTTTTGCTCTGTGGAAACATATTTATCCCGTGCTTTGGAGACAGGTTTTGTATGTGAAGGCTGATGAGCAAGGTACAAGGCATTGCCTTTCTGCAGCTGTTATTTATGACAGAGTTATGAAACCTAATAAGAAAAGGCATCTGATCACAATGCCACCGTCTCAGGCTCACTCAGTG